GCTGTTTCACTGAATTATTGCCTAGTTGCTATAGTCCTTCTATTCCACCACTACTTCCCCTCCCTAAATCATCACATTTGCCATACCTCAGAGTTTATCAGTCAATAAGCATTTCTTAAGTGCCTACTATGTGCCAGGCATTGTGCTAGTGATGAGAGAAACAAAGAAAGCCAAAAGGTGGTCCCTGATCTCCAGGAGCTCACAGTTTAATGGGGGAGATAACTAACAACCAAGTATTTATAAACAAGCTATATACGGGAAATAATCAATAGGGCACTAGAATTGAGGGTGTTGGAGAAAGGCTTCCTGTAGAAGGTGAGATTTTAGCTGGGTCTTTAGGGAAGCCAAGGAAGAAAGCCAGGAGGTGGAGGGGAGGAAGGAGAGTATTCTAGACATGAGGGATAGCCAGTGAAAATCCTGGAGGTGAGACAAAGAGTGTCTTAGTTTAAGGGAAAACAAGAATACCAGTGTAAGTGGTTTGCAGAGTACATGGGGGGAAGGGAGGGGTTTGTAAGGTGTAAGAAGACTGGAAAGGTAGCAGGTGGCCAGGTTATGAAGGGGTTTGATTGTCAAACAGGATTTTATATTTGATCCTGGAGGCAATAGGGAGTCACTGGATTTTATGGAAAAGGCAGGGTGGTGACATGGTCAGACCCATGCTTTAGGAAGATCATTTTGACAGGTGAGTGGAGGATGGAGTGGAGTGGGGAGAGATTTGTGGCAGGCACACCAACCAGCAGACTACTGCAGTGGTCTAGGTATGAACTGATGAGGGTCTGCACCAAGCTGTGCAGTGTCCAAGGGGAGAAGGGGCATATTTGAGAGATGTTGCAAAGGTCAATATTGCCAAGACTTGGCAACACATTGGACATGCGGGGTGAGACTTAGCAACAAATTGGTATGGGGGGTTAGAGAGGGAGGGGTTGAAGATGACACCTAGGTTGCTAGTGGGTGGTACTTTGGACAATAATATGGAAGTTTGGAAGGTGAGAGGGTTTAGGGGGAAAGATAAATTCAATTTAGACACATTGAGTTTAAAATGTCTATGAGACATCCAGTTTTAGATGTCCAAATGGCAGTTGGAGCTGTGAGCCAGGAGGTTAGGGGAGAGGGTCAAGTTGTCCTCCTTAAGGATTTACAACTTGCCTGAATAAAGGGGACATTGACAGTGGTAATATGAGCCCCTTTTTCTTAGTGTCAGCAATGAGTCCTTGAACTAAAAGAGCAGCTCTGCCGGTATACAGGATAGGGTGTTTGTGGATTTTTCATGAATATAGTCAAAGCTAATACATAGCTTTTGTGGAATGCTACCATCTTGTGGGCAGTTGACTTTCAGGGGTCAATGTCAGATGACAAAGACTTTATTACCATCTGGGATGTTAAACCTAGTTTTGCAAAGGTCAAAATGACCATCAGTCCTATGTGTTCCCCCATTGGCAGTCTGGTGAAGCCTATAGACCTCTTCTTCAAATAACATTTTTGAATAATTGAAGGAAATATTAAATTTCAATGAAAGAAAATAAAGATGTTATTTTTCCCTCCATCCAAGTTCACTAAGGCTTTGTAATCCATTTGTTGTTGTTGAGTTGTTCAGTTGTATCTGACTCTTCATAACCCCATTAACCATAACATAGACCCTTCTATCTTCTACTATTGCTCAAAGTTCAAGTTTTAATCCAGGTTCATCTTTGTTGTTTCCATGACACTATCAATCCATCTCATCATCTGCCATCTCCTTTTTCCTTTTGCCTCCAATCTGTGCCAACATCAGGATGTTCTCCAATGAGTCCCATCTTTTCATTATGTGGCCAAAGTATTTATTTAAGCCTCAGTATTTGACCTTCCAATGAATAGCCTGAATTAATTTCCTTAAGACCTATTGATTTGATTTCATTGCTGTCCAAGGGACTCTGAAAAGTTTTCTCCAGCACCACAGTTTGAAAGCATTGATTCTGCAGTGCCCAGCTTTCCTTGTAGTCCAACTCTCATAGTCACACATGGCTACTGGAAAAAGCATAAATTTGACTATATGGATCTTCATTGATAGATGATGTCTCTGCTTTTTAGTATGCTGTCCAGATTTGCCATAGCTTTCCTTCTAGGGAGCAAGTGGTTTTTTTTTTTAATTTCATGGCTGCAGTTGCTGTCTGATTGATCTTTGAGTACAAGAATATAAAATCTGACACTGCTTCCCTTTCTTCTCCCCCTGTTTGCCAGGAAATGAAAGGACCAGTTGCCAAGTTTTTTTTTTATTTTAAGCTTCAAGCCAGCTTTTACACTCTCCTCTTTCACCCTCATCAAGAGGCTTCTTAATTCTTCTTCACTTTCTGCCATCAGAGGGGTATCATTTGCATATCTGAGATTGCTGACATTTCTCCCAGCAACCTTAATTCCAGCTTTTGATTTGTCCAGCCTAAAGATGTGAAACTCTGCTTGTAAGTTAAATGAATAAGGGGACAGTATACAGCCTTCACATACTACTTTCCCCATCTTAAACCAATCAGTTCTTTCATACTCAGTTCTAACTGTTGCTTCTTGGCCCCCCTACAGGAGACAAGTAAAATTATATGGTATTCTCTTTGAAGACTTGCTATATTTTGTTGTGATCCACACAATTAAAGTTTTTAGTGTAGTCAATGAAGCAGAAGTAGATGTTTCTCTGGAACTTCCTTGCTCTCTCCATGATCCAGCAAATGTTAGCAATTTGCTATCTCATTCCTCTGCCTCTTCAAAAACTAGCCTGCTCTTCTGGTAATTCTTGGTTCACATATTGCTAAAGCCTAGCTTGCAGAATCTGAAGCATAACCTTGCTGGAATGTGAAATAAGCACAATTGTTTGGTACTTTGTACCTTCCTTGGCATTGCCCTTCATTAGGATTAGGACCTAAATTGATCTTTTCCAATCCAGTGGCCACTGTTGAGTTTTTCAAATTTGCTGGCATATTGAGTACAGCACTTTAACACCATCATCTTTTAGAATTTTAAATAGCTTAGCTGGAATTCTATCACCTTCACTAGCCTTATTGTTAAGAATGGTCCTCTTGACTTTATTCTCCAGGCTGTCTGGCTCTAGATTAGTAATCGTACCATCATGGTTATTGGTGATGTTAAAATCTTTCTTGTATAGATCTTTCGTGTATTCTTGCCACTTCTTCTTAATCTCTTCTTTCTCTGTTAAGTCCCTACCATGGTATATATATGTGGATGAACTAACTCAAAGTACTATGTTTCTAGCTACATACCATAATTTGGCCAATAGGCATTTTTAATCTAACTGGATTTTCCTGTGCAAATAATTATATCAATCTCCTTTGCTTTATGTGAGTTGGTAGTAAGAGATTAAACTAAATCACATCTGGAAAATTGTGTAGTACTTTCTATGTTCCTAATCTGTCCCAAGACATAAATGCCTATCTCTCTTTTTTCAGTTTCCTTTTTGTTTTTGAATTAACAAGCCCTTACGTTCTCTTGCTCCTGCCTACACTTATTTTAAAATGAAAAACAAAATCTGGGTAACAAATATTCATAGTCAAACAAAAAAAAATTCCCATATTGTCTATGTCATTCATATCCCATTCTGCATCATGAATCCATTATGCTTCTCTCAGGAAATGAGTAGCATTCAGTCTTCTGGAATCAGATAGGTCATTTTATATGGTTCAGAGATCTTAAATCTTTCAAAGTGTTAGTTTTTACAGTGTTGTTATTATTATATAAATTGTTCTCATTCTACTCACTCTACTCTGCATTTGTTCATACAAATATACCCACGTTTCTCTAACCCCCATCTCTTTTGCAATTTCTTACTACCAACTCTTTAACACCAATATCCTGATGCTATTTAAGGCCTGGTTCAGCCAAAATGGCTTCCTTGCTATTCCCTATATATGGCATTCTATTTCCTAACTCCTGTGCCTTCATATAACCCATCCCCTGTGCTTGGAATCTCCTCCTTAGCATTCACCTTATACACTCTTTAGCTGCCTCCAAAGCGAGCTCAGATGCCATATCCTTATGGAGGCCTTTCCTGATCTCCCCATTTGTTTGTGCTTCAGCTCTCCACTGCTAAATTACTTTGTATTTATTCTGTATGTATTTGATACATATTTATCTGTGTACATACTGGGGCTCCTCCCAGTAGAAGGTAAGCTCCTTGAGGGCAGCTTCATTTTTGTCTTTATATCTGAGACCATAGCACAGTAGCTAGTAGGTATTCAATAAATGCTTGTTGAATTGAATTGAGTTGAATTTTGGAACTCTAAAATGAGAGAAAATTACATACAAGTAATCAAAAAGACACATGAAAGAGGCAAGGCTATTGGGCTTCAGTTTCCTCATCTGTACAAATGTGCTCATTGAACTCCTGTTTCAGGCTCATTATGGTGCTAGGCCCTAAGGCGGGATACAAAAATATAACAACAGGGCTTTAGCCCTTTAGGAATTCATGACCTACTCGCTAAATGTGTGTTAGGCTCCTTTGAGTTCATAGAATTATCCATGCAGAGCCGAAAGCTCTAGTTCATATATATTTGCAGTTAGAAATCATCTAGTCCAAGCCCTTTGTTAGACAGATGAGGAAAAAGAAACCCAGACAGCTTGTGATCTTTCCAAAATCTCATAAAGAGTAAGGGATAGAGCTGGGACCTGAATCTGGGTCTTCCAACTCCAAATCTAGTACTCTCAATACTACTCTCTACTATCTCTCTACCCCTCTTATCATGGCCTTTATACACTTACTGTTAGAAAGAAATAACTGTGACCTGGTCCAGATAGTTCAGATTCTATGGATCTTTCCCTGTCTTGGTCCCTCATCCTTCCCCTTTCCATAGAGGAGGAATGGAATGCCTGAATAAGAAAAAAGTTGGAGAAGAAAAAAGTGACTCTCTCTCTCTTCTCTCTCTCTCTCTTTCTCTCTTCTTCCTCACCTCCCTCCCTTTATCTTTCCTTCCTTCCTTCCTCTCTTTTTCTTCCTTCCCCTTTTCCTATCTTTGTTGTTTTAGGAACAATGCTTCAAACATAGTGAACTTTCTAAGACACCATCTGAGGGAAGAAAATGCCAAGAACAATTAGCTGTAGAAATAGAAACCACCAAAGAAGAGGAAGAAAGGTAAAGGAGGCTCATCCATTACGACTAATGATAACAGTTTGCCTTCAGGTAGCACTTTGTTATAAAGTGCTTTATGTACTTCATTTCCTTTGGCCTTGACAACATTACTGTGAGATAAGCAGAGGTGGTCTGATTTTCCAGATGAGGAAATTAAGACTCCCAGAGGTCAAGTAAGTTGCTTATGATCACCTTACTAATAAGTGACAGAGGAGGGCACTTGGCCCAAGTATCCTTTTCACTATAACAAATTGAGTAAATGAGAGCTCTACAATGGAAGAGAATAGTTCTCTGACTTAGGAAAGTTTGGAGAAGGGGTGGGTTTAGGGTGGAGTATTTTAATAATTCTTCATATTTATATGATACTTTATGGTTTATAGTGTTTTCCTCAAAAATAATCCTGTAAAGGAGGTAGTATAAGTGTCATTGTTATTTGACCACAGATGGGGAAATCGAGGCTCAGAGAGGTTATGGGTCCAAAGTGAATCAGCTTCCTCAAGGCTACACGACTGATCCATGTTAGAACCAGAATTAAAACCTGGTTTTTCCAGCTCAAGTCCCATGTGCTTTCCCCCATCACCACACTAAGCTACCATTCCACAATATTTCCTGGAACATCCTCTGTACAAAGACTGTTTGAGGATCTGAGAAGGATGTGTCTGTGAGGCCCCCACCCTTCAACTCTTACTGTTTAAATGGTGAAATAAGAAATATATGAAACAATATAACAGTGCAGGTTGGCCTAAGACTGGGTGTCAAAATGAATGCTACTGAGAGCAAGGACTATCATATCTTCAAGTACCTGCTCTCTCCCTGACATAACTGTGATTCTTTACTTCTCCAACAAAGAGAATACTCCCCTTTCCCTTCCTCCTTTCCTCTGTCATACATAGACCTTAGGATTTAAAATGAGAGGGAACCTTAGAGATTGTCTAGTCTAACTTCCTCATTTTAGTTGATGAAAATTTGGTCCAAAGATATTAAATTACTAGTTCAAGTTTATATAGATAAATGGCATTTGAACCCATATCCCCTGCTTGTAAATTTAAGGCTCTTTCTGCCACACCAAACAATTAACTCTTTTAACAAGAATTCAGAGACCATAGCACCTGGTAGTAGAGTAATGATAAACGGAAGTCAGAGTCTTGAAGCCCCATAGACAGGAAATGGCTACAAGTTCCAACTCTGACATGCACTAATACCATGTGACCTTGGGTAAAACCTGCAGTTCATCAGCTAGTAGTTATTTAGAACCTATTCTGTGCCAAGCCTGGTGCTAGGACCTGGGAATAGAAATATCAAAATGAGATAGCCCTCAAAGAATGTACGTCCTACTACAAGGATACATGTTCACAGATAAGTTAACAACAACAATAATAATAGCACCTAATATTTATATAGTGTTGACAATATGTCATGTACTGTGGTATGAATTGAGAGAAGGGGATGGATTCTAGAGATGCTGAGAAGGTGGAATCCATAAAGCTTGGTAACTGATTAGATATGGATGAGTGAACGAGAGGGAAGAGGCAAGGATGACTGAAGTTCTGAACCTTGAAAAATGGTGGAGCTTTCAACAGAAATATGGAATTTAGGAGGAGGAGTGGGTTTAGAGGGATGGATACTGAGATTTGTTTTGGACATGTTGAGCCTGGGTTGCCCATAGTGGGGCAGCTAGTCTAGTGTCAGCAGGAACTGTGGGGCACTCTAGTGATGTAAATCACTTAATCTATCTAAGCTTTAGTTTCCTTAATTATAAAATAAGGGGGTTGGATCCATTGGCCTCTAAGGTCCCTTCCAGCTCTAAATCTATGGTACTATGATTAAGTTTACAATTTTAAAAAGGAAATTTTTAATAGAAGGAAGATGAGAAAAAAGGCCACATAATCAAGACAATGTCAAAAGCTATGAGGTTGATCTTATTGTGTATACTTAACAGGAAGGTGCACATAACAGAGACCCCCAGTTTCATTACAGTTCTTCCCTCTGCTTTTTCTATTATGTACATTCAAATGCCCATTCTATTTGGTGTTCCTTAAGTTCAGAATAAAAATGAAAATTTACAAAGAAACGCCAATAGAGATTCTAGGTGTAAATGTTGAGTAGACAGTTGGGGATGCAGAATTGAAGCTTCTCAGGAGAGAGTTGGGAGCGTCCTGATGCTCAGTTGGATAGCACGAACTTAAAAGGAAGAGGGTTTGTTAAGTGACGGTATCAGAGACACTATACAGATCTGGAGGTGGTAGGGCAGCTCTAAGGAGTAAAAGATTATTAGGGCAATTGTCTGAAAAAGATCCAGCGGTTTTAGGGCACTTCATCCTCAATATGACCAAGAGTGTAACATGGGCTTGTCCCTTCTGAATATCTTGCCACTGATGGACAGCAATATGAAAGTACCACCCATGCCCCCATGGCCTACAGTTTCTTGTCCAAGATTCTGTAATCCTTGTCCCTAACAATGCTTTCTTGCTTCCCTCTGGGAGTTTCTTTTGTACCTAAGTCATGAGAAGTGGGTAATAGTCATCTCTTTTGACAAATCTTGGAAGAGTCTGTCCTAGCTTGCATGCCTGCCTGCCCTGTTATCCAGCTGACAAAGAGCTACCTTTGTCCTGCTAAGTATCTGAGGTCGCATCTGAACTCAGGTCCTCCTGACTCCAGGCCTGGCACTCTACCTACTGCACCACCTAGCTGCCATATGCTATTTATATAGTATACTATTAATACTATGTACTATTGACTATAGTATATGCTGTATGCTATTTACATATTTTATGTACACACATACACACACACACACACACACACACACACACACACACTCACACACATATATTTAATATTAATGGTGACCTAATGCATAGAATGCAGGGCGTGGAGTCAGGAGGTCCTGAGCTCAAACCCTGTCTCCGATACTTCCTAGCAGTGTGACCCTAGGAATGTCACCTAACCTTTCTGTGCCTCAGTTTCCTTATCTATAAAATGGGGGCAGTGGCACTCATCTCATAGGGTGGTTGTGAGGACCAAGTGAGCTAACACATGTAAAGTGCTTTGCAGAACTTAAAGTGCTATATAAATACCTTGTTGTTGTCCTGCTCCCAGCCCCCTTGAACGTAAGCTCCTTGAGGGCAGGGACTGTTTTTCTCTTGTCTCTTCATGCCTAGTACTTCCTACAGTACATAGCCCATAGAAGAAACTTCATCAATCTGCTGAATTTCATTCTGAGGTTCTATACTAATACACGATTTGATCCCTGTATCTTTAAAGGTTGGAAAGATCCTGCAGATGGAAAGATAACAAACAGCCCCCTCTCCTGAAAGAGGAGGCGTCCCAAACACAGACTTTGCCAGAAGATTGGCAGAACCAGAGAGCCAGTTTGGAAGCACAGGTAGAATGGGGCCATTGCTATGGATTTCCCAGCTGGCATTCATTTATGTCTTCCCATCTTGGGTACAAATGCAGCTCTTTATGCTCACAAATGTCGTGGGGGCAGGGGTTGGGGAGTGCTTTGCATCTTTTTTATCCTAGGTTGACACATTCCTGTTTTCCCTCCATCTTTTACTGGTAGAGGGAGCGTGCAATAGTGGACAAAATTAGAAGGGATTTAGAGTCCTTCCCAGGACTCTAGGTACTTGGAGTTCAGAAGACCTGGGTTCAAATTCTGCTTCAGACATTTTCTAGTTGTATGTTCCTGAGCAAGTCACTTAAACTCTATTGCCTCAGTTTCCTCATCTGTAAAATGAGAGAATTGAACTCGTTGGCCTTTGAAGTCCTTTCTAATGCTAAAGCTATGATGTTATGACTCCTCCCCCACTTCTCAAACCCAGGTCTTCTTTCTGTGGAGCTCCTATGATGGGACGCCCTCCGTATGTGAGGGGTACCTTGGGAAGGCCCTGGTCTTGTAATGCTATTAAGTTTTGCAACATGCTTATGCATGCTTTGCAATGTTAGTATCTCATTTGATCCTTGCAACAAACCTGCAAGGCAGGAGCTAGGGTTTTCCTCCCTTTAAGGATGAAGACACTGAGTCTAAGTAAAGTCAAGTGACTTGACCAGAGTCACACACCTAGTATCTGAAGCAGAATTTGAACTTCGGACTTCTTGACTCCACGTGTTCTGTATACAGTGTCATGCTGTCATATCAGCTCTCTTCTTAGCACTCCCTGTATCAACCTACTTACCCTTTTGCCTCATCTTTAATATTCCTTTTCTCGACTATAATCAATACAACTGCCCTCTCCCTTCCTGGAGACCTTTACTCACTCCACTTGGCCCACCTCACTCAGTCCCTGAGAGCCCTGCTGGGACTGGAAAACTAGCCCATCTGTTCCCAAGATTGCTTATTTTTGCTCTCTTCACACTCCCTTCAAGTTAGATGATGATAGCACTTTCCCAGACAGAGGGTTCCCAGTGAACCATAACCCTAGAGGGAGCTTTGGTTAGGGTAAAGAAAAAACAACCAAAGGACAAAAAAAACCCACTGTTACAAAACAAAACAACCACAAAAACCTACCCCACCACTGGGTAAGAGCTCTGGGGGTGCTGAGTGAATGGTCATGTTCTTTGAAGATTTCCCAGATGAAGCAGGCTCTGGAGCAGTCTGCCCATAACTACAGAGAGGATCTGCAAGAGCTGAAGCAATTGTCTGACAAAGAACGGGAGAAGCTTCTTCGGGAACTTCAAGATCATATCAGACAGAGCCAGACTGCTAAAGCCCAGCTGGAAGCCTCCCATCAAGAAGCCCTCAAGATCATGGAAGACGCCAAAAACCAAGAACTGAAGGTGACGTCTCCATGGCAGTAATAACACAAGGACCCCGGCTCTAGGTCAGACTCATGAGCCTTTTAGCCAAGGGGTCTTGCTCTGGGGTTAGGGCACCCAGGGATATATTGGGGCTCTCCTCCTCGAGGTTAACCTCAGAGCATACCTTTAATATCCTAGTTCTCCTTAATGAATAACCAGGTGTGGTTCTGTCCTTTATTGACTTAATATGAAAAAAATCTATTTGTATTCACAGCTTGCCCCATAACTTCGGGTTGATCAGTTTCCCTGAGCTTATATCCCCCTTTTGTGGTAACATCCCTTTATTTCTATTAGGTTTATCCTCTCTAGGTACTGAATGAGCCCATTTTAACTTCAGAAGCTAGAGGTCACCTGGGACCAGGGCTGCTTGTGGTATGAAGGACAAAGGTGGGAGGGAAGGGTCAGGGTAGTCTCCCCCCCAGCTGCTCCCCTCTGTGTTTGACTAGTTTGGGTTCTAGAGGAGAGATGGAGGGGCAGTATGATATGATGGAAAGAGTCCAGGATGAGAAGTCAAAAGTCACAGCTGGATGGTGGCCAAGCCCAAACTAGAACCATGGAGGAAGCACTTCAGGTGCGTGCCTTGTGACAAGCCACCAATAGCCCCATTTTTGGGTAGGGAGGACCACGGAGCACTCTGAAAGGCTGTGCTCCTCAGCACTTTTGTCTGTGCATGGGATGAAGTGGGGATGCAATATTTCTAATTGCAGCAATCAGAAAGGTTTCTCTCATTTTGACAAATGGTAGGGTTTTCTCTGCTCTCTGCTCTCCTGGAAGGAGAATGAGTGAGGTATAATGATGAGAAAGTACCGAGAGATAATAGAAGACAAAGGCCCACATCTGTAAGACTGCATTGGGACTAATTAAGACAAACAGATGCACAATTCTTTAAGTTCCCTGTTAGAGGGAATTGTCCAGCCTGGAGTTCAAGCAGCTGCTCATGTCTCTCACTAAGAGTCTTAACACATGCCGGAGAAACTCAACCCAACCCAACCCTTTTACCATCCTGGGCGGTTGCCAACATTTTTCATTAGTCAGGAAACTCTCTCTTGTTTTGCTTTGCCTGCAGGAGGTTGAGGAGCGCCTAAAGAAAGAATACAGTCACACCTTCCAGATTCAGCATCAGTCTCACCAACTGGAACTCCAGGCCTTGGAAGAAAAGGCAAGCAAAGACCTTCAGGGGGAACGTGAGAGGATACAGAAACAGCAGGCCCTCTTGCTAGGTACACAATAAACCAGCCATGCAGATTAGCCTGGGTCCATTTGCCCAGGGCTTCACGTACTCATGCCAAGAAACCACAGTAGTGGGATGGAGATAAACTGAAAAAGCTATCTGGCCACTCAGGGTTTTCGTGAGTAATGATTGTTTGTGTAATTAACTCTCTATGGTCCTCAGGCCTGCCCTTTGGTTTAAGGTGGTGCTAGGAGGTCAGAGAAATGTAGAAAGAGTAGTGGATATGATGCGATGCTTATTTCTATCTGAATCTGTGATGTTGGAAGTAAGCTTCTGGAGGGTAGGAATTCTTCTTCATTTTATCCTTGAATACCCAGTGCCTACGATGGCACTTTGCACTTAATAAATGATTGTTGAGGAGCAGCTAGGTGGCACAGCCGATAAAGCACCGTCCCTGGATTCAGGAGGACCTGAGTTCAAATCCAGCCTCAGACATATAACATTTACTAGCTGTGTGACCCTGGGCAAGTCACTTAACCCCATTGCCTAGCCAAAAAAGAACAAAAATAAAGAAAAAAATAAATGATTGTTAGATTGGATATCCTAATTGACTGCCCTCCACAGAAATAGAAAAGTGAGGTGTACATGTGTGCACACATGCATGCATACATACACATATGGGTATATACATATATATAATATATACGTTTGTGTATATATATGTGTATATATATGTATATATGTATACATATGTATGTGTATACACACACACACACATACACACACACACATACATACACACCCACCCAAGAAGCTATAACTTCTAACTAACCCACATGAAATCTTGATTCACAGTTTAAGAAGCACTGAAAGGGTAACAAATGGAAAAAGTTTAAGAAGCCCTAGATCACTTAAAGAATTGTGCATCTGTTTGTCTGATTTAGTCCCAGTGCAGCCATGCAGATATGGGCCCTTGTCTTCTATTATCTCTTGGTACTTTCTCCTCATACACACACATACACAGACATATACACACATACACACATATGTACTTATGTGTATGTATGTATGTGTACATGAGAGAGAGAGAGGAAGGTCTATCATAACCCTGGTGTTGGGAAACAAGGATGAAATCTAGAATATATTCTATATCTTGGGTAAAGATAAATGGTGTTTTATCTAATTCATTTTGTAACATCTTTCTTCGTCACATTCTTATTTAGTTAATGAACTGGCTATGGTCTTTCTGGTCTAATCCAAACTTTTTGTGTTTGTGTGAAAGAGATCTTTCATGTTTTCTGTTTATCTACTTAAGAAATGGAATAAAAATTAGACTGTTTATCCTTTTACATCTTATTCATAATAAAAAGTAGCTTTTGCTTTTTTTTCCCCTCAGTCTGGAAGAGAATTCATAGGGAGAGCTTAGCCTAGGTGCTAGCAGGGCTTGTCTCTCTGATACAGGAGACTCAGGCCCTGGTGCAGTTAACCAATCATTTCTATGCAGACCTTGGACCCTTGAGAGTAGGCCAGGAAAAGGGGCTAGGGCTCAGGCCTGAAAAAAGAGCATTTCTGAGTCCTGTGAGAGAGTATCAGAGTATAAAACCCAAACCTCAGCCATGAACACCCTGCCTTTTCCCTATGGGACTGTCCCCCTCCTCGGTGCATGTCTAATTTCCTACTCACTTTGTTGTCCCTAGATTCTCTCAGGCTGGAGTTATCAGAGCAGCATTCGTCCTTTATCAGCCAACAGAAGGAAATAGAGGAACTCGAGACTGAACTGAAGAATCTGAGGGGACTGAAGAAACAACAGGCAAGTTTCCAGTGCTCTACTCACAGCGCATTGTTGTGCTTTAGAGCCAAAATGATCCCTTTCCCCGTGAGAAATTTGGTTACTCTCCTTCATGCACACTATGTTCCATTTAACCTAGCCTCTTTGATGCTCCCCATACGTGACATTCCATCATCTACCTCAAAGTCTTGGCACTGTCTGCCATGTTGGATTATACTCCCTCCTCACCTTTGCCCCTTGAAAACTCTGTTTCCCTTCAAATCTCAGCTAACGTGCCACCTCCCATGGGATCCTGATCTCATTCTCCTAGTTGTTGTCCCCTCTCCCCAAACAAATTACTCATTTAAAAATTTTGTATTTACTTTCTTCCTTGTCTGTATTTCCAGTACCTTGCACAGCTCCAGGCACATGGTATATGCTTAATTAATTAATTAATATGCACATAATACATAGACATATATATATATATATATAGATGTTTATACATACACACATAAACACATATCTTCAACTTCCAGGGCTTGTAATCAATATCTCCTCTGAACTGTTGAATGATATAATAGAAAGAGCAATGGATTTGGAGTCAAGAGAGACCCAAGTTCAAATTCTGCCATTTGACTAGTTGTGGGACATTATGCAAGTCACTAAACCTTTCTGAGCCTCAGTTAAGTTTCTGTGGCTACATCCATTAAGGAATCTTGTTTGATCCTAACATATGCCAGAGAAACATCTTTACGAAGAGAGCCTCTACAGCTGCATTTTGCCCTCTTGACTGAAATGCTGTTATGTAACCAACAAACAGTAAACAGTGATTTTGCATAGACTTTTCTGTTAGTTGTGACTGTTTGCTATAGAAAATCATCTATAGAAATCATCTAGAAAATCTGTTCCTTTCTCATAATTTCATCAAGCATACCCTCCAAGAGCATAGACAATTAACATAAAGATTTTTATAGAAATTATAAAGTAGTTATATGGATGGGTAATTGTGGAGTTCTCGGCTGCCTTTTTTTTTTTGTAATAAAATCATATGTGAGTTCCCCCATTCCCCTTCCCATTGTCTTGACATCCTCCCTTCTCTGAAATAGTTTAAAAATTAAATCCCTCATTGCTTTCAAAATTGTTTCACCGCCAGCACAGATTTCTTCTATACATCATTAGTCCGATATAACTATTTTTCCCAATGTCATCTTCTGCAAAAACAAACAAACAAAAAACCAAAAACTGATATCATCTTCTTAAGTTAATTTTCAGTTTTTTTCATATTGGATACTGAAGTGTTATGGTTAAAGTTTTGTAGCTCCACTGTCACTGATAGAAAAAAATCAAACATTCAGAGAAATCTGCCAAATCTCTTCCCTTTCCCCCTACTTGGTTTCTCCCAGTCTTTTCCATCAATACTTTTGGGGTGGTTTGACATGGTTGGGTCTATTAAGATTAATTTTAATAGAGAGTACTATCAAGTCCTATATTTGGGTTTCAAAAACTTAAGCAAAAGATGAAGGAAAGGTGACCAGAGAGCAGTCTTTAAGATATGGGGGTATTAGTGAATTGTAATCTCAACAGGAATCAATGGTGCAGCCCCAAAAGGGAATATAATTTTGGGCTGAAGTAAGAAAAGCATAATGGCAAGGAAGGTGATAGATCATCCTACAGCACCCATCCTGGTCAGACCCCGTCATGAGTGTTCTGATAACTACAAAGCACTATAAAAATGTGAATTATTATTGTTTACTACCCCAAAGCCAAATTGAGAAAAGGGAGAGATCACTTCTGTCTCGGGGCATTAGGAAAGATCACATAGAGGAGACAGCATTTGAAGGGGATATGGGTCAGATTTCCACACATAACAATGGGGGAAATCTGTTCCAAATGTAGGGGATGGTAAACACAAAAACACTCAAGTGGCAAATATAAGATGAATTCCAGGAATTAGGAGCAGTCCAATTTGTCTTCCGTTTAGAGTGTGTTCTGAGGAACTGTGGGACATAATGCTGGAAAATTTAAGATTGGAGCTAGATCATGAAGGGCCTTGAATACTGCACTGAAGAGTTTAGACTTTATTCAGTAGATAACAGTTTCTCCAAATATGTTCCACAAAACCCCAAGGTTCTATCATTGCAATCCAAGGGATTGCACAAAGGTCAAAATTATTTGTAACAATGGACACGTACACCGAGCAAACTCATCTGCTTTGCTGTCTGTGATGTGATTATAATGTATGCATTCAGATGATGCCCATTGGAGACTAATAGAAGTCAATCACAGGACTGAAAAGTTACCTTCTTACTGGTCTAGAGGCAGTCACCAACTATACCTAATAATATATGGCTTACAGATAATTAATTGCCAGACTGTCTTAGCAGGGTATATATAAAATAATTAGTGTCCATTTATAGTTCTCTTTATCATAAATAGTGTTCATTTCAAATGCTGATTATCATTGGAAAAGACCCTGATGTTGGGAAATATTGAAGGCAAAAGGAAAAGGGGCCAATGGATGAGATAAATAGTGTCATGGAAGGCAATGAACGTGAGCTTGGACAGACTTTGGGAGGCAGTGAAGGACAGAAGGGGCTGCCGTGCCACAGTCCATGGGGTCACGAAGAGTCAGGCAGGACTGAACAACTGAACCACAACAACAATGCTAGTGATGGATGATTTGATCAAATCAGGGAGATTTTTATCCTAGGTGCCAGTACTAAGGCTCTATCTAACTAGGCCACAAACATCCACAAAGCTAGTTCTGGGACTAAATTCCAAATATAGGAAAAACGCAAGCAGAGCGAAGGGAATCAGCAATTTGTGTTAACTTCTAGTAAGCCTGATGCAGATCATGTGTTATCTTACTAGTTCCTTAAAAAACAAACAAACAAACAAAAACAAAACTAGGATCTGGCAAAACCAAAAAAGCAGTTACAAACGAAATACAGAGTCCAAAAATGAAACTTGGTCTTTTTAAGCTAAAATATGATGATCTGAAAAAACTGACTTGTGTAACTAAAAAAGAAAGTGAAAATATAAAGGATCTTAGAAGGTAAGAGATTACATCCAATGCTCTTTACTGTTATAAATTATTTATCGATAGCAAAAATTCATTTCCTTCTCCATAGAATTTTTGGTTATATTGTTAGATTCAGAATAGGATTGAACTATAAGATTTCTCTTAACTGGTACTAGTAGTAATAATTTTCAAAAATCATTTGAAAAGATTTAGTTTTCTGCTGGAGCTTTGCTTAAAGCCAAGGGTCCCACCATTGCTTAATGTTTGAAAAGTTTCTGTGCAGTCTAGTGATATGATCCAAAGTGTGCTTTTTTAAAGAAGATTAATCTGGGGGCAGCTAGGTGGAGCAGTGGATAGAGCTCTGGCCCTGGAGTCAAGAGGACCTGAGTTCAAATGCAGCCTCAGACACATAACACTTACTAGCTGTGTGACCTTGGGCAAGTCACTTAACCCCATGTCCTAGCAAAATAAAAATATTTTTAAAAATTTTAAAAAATAAAGAAGGTTAATCTGACATTGGAATGGATTGGAGCAGGGTCAAGACTATGATGGTGGAAACTAGTTAGAATGTTATTAAATAATCCAGGTAAGAGGTAATGAAGGCTGCCTGGATTAGGGTGGTACTCTCAGAAGTTGATACCCTACCAATAGTTTCAAATATATGTGATGAAGATATGGATGTTATTGGCTTTAGAGACTTGTTTTTATTGAGAATAGGTGGGATGATGGTATACTCGTATAAATTCAAAATGGAAGATAATTCAGTAATAATTAGTTATCTTAGCTATACGTTGAATGAATAATTAAACCTGTAGACATATTTGAAATTTATTTAAAAGCTATACCAATAGCCATTTTTCTGCCACATTCAAAGCATATTCTACAATACAATGGCACAGACATTTATTAAGTGCCTACTTTGTGCCAGGCACTGTGCTAAATGCTGGGGATATAAATAAGGAAAAGAAAGATAGTCCTTGCCCTCAAAGAGCTTACAATCGACATTCATTATTGGTACAAAACATTTAATCCTGTAAAAACTCCAGAGCGTTAACCATTTTACAATTAGGTTTAGCCAAGGTAAAAGAAGTTCTGTCTTCAGAAAGCAGGAAGCTCATTTGGATTGCCTGGAGTTGTCATCTTTGCCCTCCAAATCTGTGTCGGAACTAGGTGGCAGCACTTGGACTCAGGAATAATAATATTTATAATAACAGCAACAGCAACATCTAACATTTATGTGGTGCTTGCTGTGTGCCAGGCACTGTGCTGAGTGCTTTCCAATGATTATTTCATTTGATCCTCAGAAGGATCCTGGGAGGTAGTAATTATTATCTCCATTTTAAAGATGAGGAAACTGAGGCTGAGAGAGGTTAAGTGACTTGCCCAGGGTCACATAGCTAGTAAGTGTCTGAGACCATATGTGAACTCAGGTCTTTCTGTTTCTAGACCCAGAGATCTAGCCACAGTTCAAATCCTACCTCAGACATTTATTGGCTGTGTGACCCTGGGCAAGTCACTTATCCTCTCTCAGCCTCAGTTTCCTTATCTGTAAAACGAGGATAATAATAGCGCTTACCTCCCAGGGTTGTTGTAAGGATCAACTGATATAATCTGCGTGTAGCCCTTTGCAGACCGTAAATGCTACATAAGCACTGGCTATTAGCTATTGTGCTAGATGGACTCCATTTAATAAGCCCTTCTGAAGCTTTCTAGTATCTCCCTTCACCTCTGTGCTTTATCAAGTAACTCAAATTGGCCTTCATCTTAGGAAGGAAGCAGCCAGAGCCAGATCAATTCTCTTACCGGGACAGTGGAAAAGTGTCAGAGGGAGATGGCCGGTCTTAAGAATGAGAATTCCCTTCTGAAGGAGACTTTGCAGCTGCTCAGTGCCGAGGCTGAAATGCAAAAACAAGGGGCCATCCAGCTGCAGGAGAGGGAAAGGCAGCAGCGCAGGTCTGTCTCCATGTCTTCCTTTTTCTGTCTTTCTTTCAGCAAGCATTGACATTAAAGCTGAGAACCCTCCACAAGTTTAGAGCACCTCACTCCTCCTCCCCCTCAAGAAAGACATTTACTAGGACACAACCACTGGTTGATCGTTTTTTTGTTGTTCTGGCTTGAAAATTCCAGTGTTGGGTATGTAGGAACTGTGTATCACCCTACAGTTTGTGTGTCTGTCACCCTGAAATAGGAAGAGTTGTAAATGGTGACTTAACTCATAAAATAAGGAGGTCACTTCATGGCGCTGGAAGGAGACTCCAACCAAGAGTCATCTCTGCCTTCAGGCAGTGCTGCAATTCATCCAGCTTGGTGGGGTCAGGGTCAGTCCAATATTACAAATACCTCTTAACATCAGACAGTTCTTCATCTCTGATCTTAGCCTCCCTTAGTGGTGTTGAAGGCTCAACTCTGGAAAGATGACGTTTATGGTAAAAGAAATTCTTGGATCAAAAAGCTGGCTGTAACAAAGAAAATAAAAAAGTAGAGCTTTCTTTAATCACTTACGTTGAGATTTCTCAGGGATAGGCCTTGGTCCGTAGGATCCCAGGCAGAGTCCTCCCCAAGGCTAGTGTGGGATCATTCTGGGACTTGCACTTTGAGGGGAGTTGGGGTGGTGGGGCTCACCTTGCTAGGATCCCAGTGCCAGGCAGTGACTCAGAGAGGCAGCAAGTATATTGAGGAGGGATGGTGGCTCTTGCCAGTAAGTTCCTCTTTCCAGTTCCAATCTGAGCTTTATGTTCATTTTAAACAGCATTTACTTGGCTATATATGGGAGGGGTTGTAGAGTGGGGAGAGATATGGAGAAGGGAGGTGAGGGCTTCTATATCCCACTAAGGATTCCCCCAATCTCAAGGCCCCAGATTTAATTTCCCACAATTCTCCTCTACATAAAAGCCCCCTCTGCAACAGCCTCCCAATCCTCCCTGACCAGCTTAGTTGGGAATAAATTACAATTTAGAATGAAAGTGAAATCCTTAGGAATACTAGCCCCGCCTTCTCAGTAACCTGTGAGCCCAACAGTGTTGGGCAGAAATGATGCTTTTACGTCATGTTGCAAGGTTGCTGGAAGAAGACCTTCAAGTCAAGCATAAACAAGAAATGGAAACCTTGAAACAAGATCATAGGAAAGAAATCCAAAGCATGGTGTCTGATTTCAGCAGCACTCAGGCTCACCTGCAAAAGAAGATCGTCTCCTTGGAAACAGAGTAAGTGATTTAAATGAAGCTATCCTGCCTGCGAGTATAATTTGTTAGCTGGGGAGTGCTGGGGCAAAGGATGTAGCTTTTTACGAGATTATGTTCTCATTCTGGGAAATGTAAAGTGGATGTAATTTCATTTTGTTTTTTATTGACTGGAAACCCTTGAGTTATGTCTCCTCTCCCCAACACTGGCTAACTCTCAAACATATAGAAGAAATATAAAAGATTACTTGCCCTATTAATAGGTGAAGTTAGACCTTTGCTGCTGAAATGGACCTTGGAAACCATTTAGGCTGACAATTTACCAGTGAGGAAACAGACCCAGAGATTTGAAAGCACTGATCCAAGGTTACACAGCCAGTTAGTACCTGAGCTGGGACGGCAATCCAGACTTTCTGACTCAAGCCCAGTTCTTTGAATGCCTAGTAAAATGAATCCTCTAGAAACCACTTAATGAAAGCTTTTTCAAGGGTACCTTGAAAGTTCACTAAATTATCATCTAAATTATCACCCTCTTCATTTTCCATCTATGCATGTGAAGAGCCCTTCCAGGCTAGGTTGGCCATGATTGAGATGGTTGTGGGGGCATTAGTGTCTTTTAGCTCTGAAGAGGGGGACATCTGCTGAAAAAGAAAGCAAGCCCAGGCCTGCTGACCCCTGATCTGTGGTCAACAGATGTTGCCAGCTACATTCCAAAAACAAAACATGTGCCAGGCTGCTTAAGCGAGCTCCAAGGTCTCCTTGACACCTGTGACCCAGGGGCTATAGCTCTCATTTTCTGACTGTATCTCTCTCTCTCCCTTTCTCTCTTTCTGTCTCTGTCTCTCCTTCTTTCTCCCCCCCCACCTTTTTCTCTCCCTCTTTGTCTCTGCCTCTGTCTCTCTTTCTGTATGCCTCTGTCGCTCTTTCTCTCTCTCCCGCTCTCTTTACCACTTTCTGTTTCTCTCCCTCTTTCTTTGTCTCTCTGTTTCTGTCTCTGTATCTCTCCCCCTTTCCTTCTCTCCCTCCCTAGAGATATGGAATCTTCTCTTCTTAAATAGTAACTCCCTGACAGAATTGTACTAAATCTTTATCGTGCATTGGTAATCTAAAGAAGAGACTCAGTTCCCAGGCATTATTGATACATTTGACTGAGTGAAGAAGAAGAGGAGAGCCGGGCAGAGTATTTAGGCTCCTTCCCAGCTCAGCCGATTTTTGCTGGCTCTGCCATTATTTTGGCCCAGAAAGGCCTGGACAAAAAAAGCTACAAAATTATTTCTACTTGTTCTTCATCTTCTTTTTGGTTTAATGCAGGTTTAACTAATTAGATACATGATCTAATAGCCAGTATCTAGTTATCTAATTAGATAACTAATCATATACTAATTACCTATGTTTGTCTGATTTAAATAGCCTTAAAGATGCAGAAGAGAAACTACGGAAATGGGAATCCAGACCGGAAGATTTACATCTCATAAGCATTTTGCAAAACAGATTAAGTGAGCGAGAAGAAATCATCAAACAGTTAACGGTAAGGATTTGGGGTGTTCTGTGCCAAGCTTAGAAAGTCTATGTGTAAATCAGGATGGAAACCAAAAATATCATTCGGGAATGACTTTTCCCAAGAAAATGACGGCTTCCCTATTAGCACTTCATAGGATCATAGATTTGGAGCTAGAAGAGGTTACCTCAGCCAACCCTTTCATTTTCTGGGTCAGGAAACTGAGGCCCAGAGAACTCTTTGAGTCTGGCCATTAATCCATTGTGAATCCATCTAATTGTTTTATCATCCAGTCCACATCTCTACGTTATATCCACGTCAATGGCATGAGACTTTATTATTAAACTATAGATCGCTCTGGCACACCTTTTATCTATCAGTTTGGTAATCTTTAATGATAGAATTATCTCAGAAATTAAAGTCAAACTCACTAGCCAATAGTTTGTAGTTCTGTTCTCTTCTCCTGAAAATCAGGATTTTTGTCCCCCAATACTGGGGTATCTCTCCCATTTTCAAAAATAATAATATAATAGCTAGCACTCATTTATAGTTTAATTATCCTCCATGGAGACTGGCTTTGCAGTCACATTTGCCAGTCCTTTCCATATCTGAGGGTAAAATTTTCTGATCCAGATGACTTGGTAACTCTCTATTTCTTTAACTGTCTCTGGTTGCCTGTTAGCCATTTTTACCATGTCCTTTCCAGTGCAAAGGTCATTCTACTTGGCAGAGAAAATAAGCAGAAAAAGAATAAGAATTCCCTGTGATCATTTATCTCTCCATCCACTCTAAACTGAGGTCACATCCCTTCTTACTCTGTTTTTATAGGACCAAGCCACATTTGTATTTAGTCTATTGCCTGTCTTCCTTCTATTGGCTGAATTTTCTTTAAAAATGTGAGTCAGTTGAAGAGTTCACTTTGCATTCACATTAGTCTCTTCACACAACTCCCATTTTTCTTCCTCATTGGAATGGTTTCCTTTTGTCTTCATGATTTCATTTTGAGCATTTCCTGTCCCTCCTGAGCTGACTCCCCCTATAGAATTTTAATCCATAGGATACTACCTGTCCTTTGAAATCAGCTAACCCAAAATATAGAGTGCCCATGGACTATATCTGGATTCCTGTTTTCTATGACAAACTTCAGGAGGGAAAAAATCACTTCCTCTCAGGATATCTGTCATTTCTACCCCCAGCAACCAATTTCTACCTCTTAGTGAGAATCAGTTCCAGAATAAAATTTCTCCTTGTTGGCTCTCTTTTAAAACAGAGGTGTCAAACTCTTCCGGATTCTAAGTGCAGATTAAAATGTAATTGGGAAATGTTAAATTAAATAAAAATACAATACAATATAGATAATATTGTTTTGTGATTTTCTAAGTCAATATGCAACCTACAAGGATCCCTTTCTACTTGAGTTTGACACCATTCTCTTAAAGGATGCAGTTATCACTAAGGCAAGTCAAGTTATTAGCTACATAGCTTTTGACAGAGAATTCCAGCAGATGTCTGGATAATTATAGTCCTTCATCATTACTATATTACATCTTTGTGCCAAGCTCATGATTTAGTTCCCAAACTCATCTGTTTCCTCTTTTTGTCCAAGTGGTCTACAGTATATTCCAATGATAAAAATCACTAGTTTCACTCTTCATTGACCATCCAAATATTCTCCATCATACTTCCCCGCTCTGGTTCCTGGGTTCCTTTACATCCATATATTTTCTTCATATACAATGCTACCCCACCTGTCCTTTTACCTATTTTATTTCTTTTGAGTAAGGCATGTTCGTTCAGAGCCATATTTTAGTCATGGATTTCATCCCACCAAGTAAAGCTTTACTAATACTTATAAGGTTAAATTTGCCTATTAGCATTAGGACTCTAGTTCCTCTTCTCTAAACTTTGGGAATTTGTGTAGAGACGTTTGGAAGCCAAAGGTTTTACTACTGGCTACTTTCTTGGATTTTGCCTCCTATGAACTTATGGATGCCTCAGTTGCTCTTCTTCCTTCACTGGTAGTTACTCTCTATGGTACCTAGCATGGGGGACAGACCTGGGCAAACGTCTTTCTCTCTCATCCTTTTTTAGTTAAAAAAACAAAACAAAACAACTTTCTGATTATCTTTGCAAGACCCCAAGCAAGTACCTTCTTACCAGCCTTTCTTATAGAGCATACTCTATCCCTGGCCAATAATCTGTCAACCCAGTGTTTTAAGCCAATGTTCAGAAGTCCACATCTCATTTTCAGGTACCACCTTCAGCACCCCAGATCTTAATGTCCCAAAACATTTTTTTCTTCATCAGTTTCCTCCATTGGACAAAGGTGAGAGAAACAGTCTTGTGGTCTTCAGTTTCTTGCACAAAAGTTTGTAATATTTGACAATTTAAGGATACTTCTGGTATCATTTGTGCCCATGTGAATCACCAGAAGCGGTAGTAATCTATTCTAAGCCTTGGGAGGTTGTTACATCTTGAATACATGCCTGGGAAGACAATAGATCTCTTTAGTGTTGTTATTAGGATGACAAGTAGCTGCCCTAACACCCTGAACAGGTAATTACCAACCACCACCACTCTCTGATTCTTCCTTTGACTTTTACTAGATCTCACATCATCATTATCAACAACAATATTTATATAGTGCTTACTATGTGCTAGGCACTAAGATAGGCAATTTACAATGATCTCCTTTGATCCTCACAGCAACCTTTTTAGGTAGATATTACTATTAGCCCCACTTTACAGATGAGAAAACTGAAGTAAATAGGGGTTAAGTGACTTGCCCAGGATCACACAACCAGTAAGTGTCTGAGGCTGGATTTGAACTCAGGTCTTCCTGATAGGTTCTATGATTGTATAACATCATACTTTGGACTACTGTCAGGTGCCTCTTTTTCAGACTACACAGCTCCCTCTTCAGAAACCATCTCAAATCTGTTTTTTAGTTCTTAGTGTACAATTTGTCTTTTCCTTTTTTTCTTCCTCTATGTAACACTCTTCTACTTTCCAACCTCCTATTAAAGGTCAAGTATCCCCTCCTCCATCTCAGATTCCTTTTTTCTCCATTGAAACCACGCATCTGTTTCCTTTAGGAATGCCTCATTATTCCTAGCAACCTGGAGAGGTATTTCTTGAGTCACTTCATCTTGTCCTCTGGGAGGGCAACCAGCAACACTTGGAACAAAGAGAAGTCACTCATTTGTGGCAGAAATATAAATATTGCATCCTCAAGGCAAGTCACCAAACAACTTTTCCCTGCTTTCCTACTGATTTGTCACTTTCAGCCTCTTGGGGGAATTACTTGTGAATGTGTATGACTAAACCCTAGGCACTTAAAATTTTTACAGCCAATTATCAACTAATAATTTGACAACCCTACCCAATTTCCTTTCCTAAGGCTCAATTACACAGCTATCCACTACCTCTCCTTCCCTCTTCCCCCTAGCACTGACCATCTTTGTTTCACCAACTTGCTCCACCCATCAATCTATCCTATCAATTTGCTTTGTTCTCCAATTGTTCCACTGAACTTTTCTAACTTGCCTTGTCTTGCCAACTATCTTCTTGTCTTCCTTCTTGAATTTTCCTCTTCAGGTCCTTACTGCTTAATCCTCTCATTACGCTGCTTCTTCATGCTCCTCTCCCAGGTACAGGCAGTGGAAATCTAGTGGAGTTGGAGATTATGCTTCAGATATTTCTCAATTTCTGTTCCTTACTCATATAAACCCCTCCAAATTGCCTGCACAATTTCCTTCTTTTTCTTATTCAGCTTAGGTCTTTTTCTCTTCTCCCATTGCTCCTATAGAAGCTGGAAGTAGGTTTAATATTGACTTCAAGGGTAGCGCTTGAGGATCATAAGATTTAGAGTAGGAACTTGAGAATATCTGATCTAGTGTATTCATTTTACAGATGAGAAAACTGAGAACCAGGGGAATCAAGTGGCTTGTCCAAGCTCACACAGGTTAGTAAAATGCAAGGACAGAATTTGAATCTGAACTACTTTTCCTTAGCTAGAAATAAGCTTACCTTACCAGTGAAGACTCAAACAAATGAATAAGAAGCTAAACCCAGTCCCTGATTTCTGCTGCATCCTTTTTCTTCCCCCTGACCTACCTTTCTCTAAATATACTGGGATACTTTGCTACCAGGTAATCACTTTCTTTTAAATGAACCTCTGTATATTTAAGATAAACATGTAGGCATTAAGGCATTTATGTTTGTTTATTTTTTTCAGGAGGAAAGAAGATTTCAGTGTGCTGCATTGCCAAACACTCTCTCTCATCGGAATAGATCCTTTTCTTTCAATCCTCATCCAGGCTATTTGACCCCCTCCATGAAGGTGAATGAGTTCTTTTCTTTTTAAAAACATTTTAAAATTATCCTAAATGTAGTATCTAGCTAAAGTAACATTTTAGGATCATACAGTTTAGAACTGGAAGAGGCCACAGCAATCATGGTTCATGAAATCACTCAAAAGGGATTAACCTAAACTAATCCACATAGGAAAAGATAAGTGGATCAAGAACATGTAGTATATGACCTGCACTTGGGTAGTCAGTCTGTCTGTCTATATATCTTGGATTGGGGCTGCAGATGGTCAGGTTGGGCCCAGAATTGAATAGAAAATAGGTGAGACTCACTTGGGAAATTGAACAGGGCTTCACTTCAGACTGTCCCTAGATACCGAAGTGGTATTTTCAACATCATTATGCTCCTGGTGATGCTAAATGATTGTGATTCATGGAACATTATAATCTTTAAAGGATCAAAAGTGTAAAGAAAAATAAAGAGGCATATGGTGGGTGTTAGGTAGGGTGGCACATGAATGTTACCAGGGAGAGCTTATCAGGAAAAGTGATATAAAAGCCATCCTCAAAGCAAGGTATTATCAGAAAGAATTGAGGAGGTCATGTAGGGACAGTGCTAATAGGCAGGCAGCTCAAGCGGTGCATTATTTGGAGAACGTCAAAAAACTGAAGTAAATCCTCTTGTGTGATGGGTAGGGGGATTTCATTAGACAGGATCAGATGACATGAATGCATTGTCATAGTCACTCAAGGGGGCATCATAAATCCATGAAATACTGAATATAAACTCAGTAACCATCCACCAATATCCGAATACAAAAACTTTTAAGTGATTATACATAAAATTGCAAGTATTTTAGCTTTTTAAAAATGTGTATTTTAACAAAATAATAGCAAAACGTTTCCATCTCTGACACATACTGGCTATGAATGGACAAGTCACTTAACCAAGTGTTCCAGGCACTTCTCTAAAGAGTGTAAGTTGCAGAGCAAGTCGCAGTTGAAGATTTGCATTGATGATTAAGGTGTATGGTGCCATTGATTTTGCTTTTTCACTCTGCATCTCTTGATATGGCTTCCCTTATTTAATTGTATCCTTCACGTCCTTCCTTTTGTATGGCGCAGTAACATTTCATTACATTCACATACTAGAGTGGTTGGACTCATGTGTTATTCCAGGAAACGACTTCTTCTCAACAAGAGCAAATTATTTTGCCAGAGGAATTCTATCATCTTTAATACCTTAACTGATTCTGAGTAATTCAAAGCACATCAATGGAACAAATACGCATCCCGTCCTTTAGGGACCTGAAATAAAGTAGAGGTACATTGACATGTTGAGCAATTTGACTTTGGCATTCTGAAATACCACAGTGGTACTTTTTCTCTGCTGCTTATGTCTACAGTAGCCTCCAAGTGTGAGATACCTTATGAACCCTTCCTTTAAATTAACAGAAAAAGAAAATGGAGGAAGTTCCCAGCCGGGTTGTCAGTGTGCCAAACTTAGCCTCCTATGCAAAGAATTTACTGAGTGGTGATTTGAGTTCCAAGAGAAATGCTGCACCAATAACCAAATCACCAAGCTTAGACCCAAGTTCCAGCTGTGTTAGGTCTGGTCATCAGCCAGTCAAATCTCCACATGCTAAAACTGCCACAAGGTAAGCAGAAAAAATATACGGTTAAATTTTTCCATGGAGCTACTTGGAAAAATTGGACAAGACTGAATAGTACACAATAACAGTTGATTTAGAGAGAGTTCAAAAGGTGGAACAAGCTGCAAATACTTGAACTGTACTTGTCCATCCTTTTTGTGGGGGGGAGTGGGAAAGGGAAAAGTGGTCTTGATCTGTGATTTCATTGGTGTGGACATTTAACATGGAAACTTCCTCCACCAACATGGACTGGCAAGCCATCTCTGAATTACAGTCTTAGAGAGTTGTCTGGGGTACACGGAGGTTAAATGACCATGGTCACATAGTATGTGTCAGAGGAAGAACTGACTCTCCTAGGTCAGCTCTCTATTCACTATGCCATGTTTACTTACATATAATATTGATCTATATGATGGGAGGAGTAGTAATGTCCCAGGAACTAATTATACAAGCAAATCATATTTTAAAATTTGATTAAAATGTTATTTGACATGGGCACTGATTAAGGACTCTGCTTTGAACATCTACCTAGTGTTCATTTTGGCAGCATATATATATGTAGTCTGCATGCCTACCAAGCAGAAATCACCTCCATATTGCCCAAAATACACATACATTTTCTGACTTTAAAAACTTATTGCTTTCCAGAGCCAAAAATATTTGTGAATATTAAATTACTAGTTACTAACATAATAATATCATGTTTCTGTTCTTAGGACTGAAGACAATGAAAAAACCCAAGCCAAAGAAGTCCAAAAACAAGGTTCTCAGCATCAGGAATGGTTTACAAAATACTTTTCATTTTAGACTGACCTTTTAAACATAACTTAATAACATTTGAGAAAAAAAAAATTTTTTTTCAAAATGTCCAATTTAGGGAATGGATTGAAACATAAAAGGTCACTTTTGCTATGTAATTACACGTCATAGCTTAAAATAATTTTAGGATTAATATTCTATAATGGGTTCACTAAAGAAGTTCCTTAGATCAAGGTAAGATCATTTCCCTTCCTACTTGAATACTCTAACAAATTATTTACTCAGTGTTAACAAGAAAGCACTCATAGGAAAATTTTCCATATGGGTTTTATGTCACATTTCTGGTGTTCACCACCTTTAGAGAATGCTAGTCCTTTCTTGTGAACTGTGTAGTTGGCTTTATATGTGATTTTGTTGGTCTAGAAACAAATATTTGACTTTTAGAAATGACTTGACTAGAAATATTTTTTCTGTAAGATAATGTATTTACTGTGGAGCATATGTTATCAGTAGCAAAAGGAATAAAAGGAATTTTCATTGACAGGAAGCTCATTGATAGGCATAGAGGCTTTAGACCCACTTATCTCACTGTGGGCTCACTGCATGGAACTTCTGTAGATTTAAAGGGGAGCTCTACACTCTAAAGTGTAAATGGATTTGGGTGAATCTGGTCCCATTTGAACCAGCGGGCTGTTTCATAGCATTAGACGTACTAGTTTTTACAAACTCTTAGTCTGTTCATTAAATTCACTTTGCACCTGGTGGAACTATGGGATTTGACAGGACCCAATACAAATCTTATGATGCAAAATAACCTCAGCCCTTTGGTGCTGGCCTAAATGGTGCTCCATGAAATTCTTATTCCAGTATATGTTGTTTACTCTATGTACTGTGTTACTTGCTGAGATAAAAAAATCTTCCTGTACTGCCAATTTTTAAGTCTTTGCTCTGAATAAAGCCAACAACTGGTAAGTCAAAATAGTTCTATTATGTGTCCTTCAGCAGAAAGGTGGATGTCACAATTCAAGGCAGAGGCCAGGATGGATGGAATGATCGTTGTCAAAGTGACACATGACTAGATTTTCACTTTAGCAGAAAACAGTTTTGTATACTTAGGCCTGAAAGAAAAAAATGTGTTCAGTGCTCTAGAAGCTCATTTACCATTAAAATTTTCACATACATATCCATGGTAAGCTAAAACACAAAGATCCAGGGAGGATTTTTAAAAATACAGCTACTGGTCACCACACAGAATTCTGACATGTTATTTACAGAAGAAGGTTTTTCTTTTATTTTCTTCCTTTCTTCATTATGCATAATGAGCACTGGTAAGACAGTCTGCTTTATTTCTTATGTTAGAGACATGACACCCATGCTTTTCTTTTGCCCCATAGAAAAGGTAAACCTGCCCTTCCTTTTGGCTACAGCCCCAGAAACCCTATCAGTAAAAGGGGGCAATTCATTGCCCAGTATCCTAAATTTTAACATATCCCATTACTCAAGGAGAGTCTGTTTATTAATCTCCTATCAATCACTGTGTTAATACTCTCTAGTCACAATAACCTGGGGATTTTATGATCTTTTAATTTGTTTTTAGTAAAAAAAAAAAAAACAAACCATTTTTACACAGGATCTTCTTTTCAAAAAGCCCCAGAGTATTTACAATCATCAAGTTTCTCTGAGACAGGCATGGACACACTTAATACACCACTTTGAATTTAGGCACATCTACCTACTGCCACAGTGAGGCCTCTAAATGGTAATGGAATCAGTTCTAGAATCTAGATCTGCTTCCCAGACTAGTTTTCTCCCCCTTAGGCTACACTCAAATATTTATTATCGAATATATGTAAATCTATGCAAAGAGAGTAAGTTGGCTATGCAAACTGAAGGCCAAAATTGTGCTGTAATAAATTTGGGAAGGGACAGCTAGGTGACAAAGTAGATAGAGCTCCGGCCTCAGAGTTAGGAGAACCTGAGTTCAAATCTGGCCTCAGACACTTGACACTTACCTAGCTATGTGATCCTGGGCAAGTCACTTAACCCTGATTGCCTCACCAAAAAAAAAAAAAAAAAGAAAAGAAAAGAAAAAAAAGGCAATAAATTTGGGAAGCCAGTATATGCCTCACATCCAACTAAAACACAGAAGGCTCTGGATTTTCTCAAATAATAATGCTTTAGTTGGGATATTTTAGAAATTTCTTTAGAAAACAAATTCCAAACGGTCAATTTAATTATCCATAAATGTTAAAGGCAGTAACCTTTGCCCAAGTAACTCACTTTCCCTAAGACAAAACCAAAGATAACAAAGCAACTGACTAAGCTTTGAAAAAAGTACTAATTTTAGTTTACCAAAACAATATGCATTTTAGACAATTTACAGAAATACACTTTAAGAAACCCTGCACAGAAAAAGAAAAGAATATTTGGCAAAGTTGAATTTTTTTAAACAAAATACTCTGTACATCAATATTTTGCAGATTCCATTAAAATTACAAATAAGAAAATCTTAGTTTAATGTTTTTGTAAGTTGTTGTAAGACAACAAAGAGTCATGTTTGCTTCATGGGGGCAGGAATATTAGCCGATGCCTGCTCAAGGTATGCCAATGGTCCTTGAGGTATGTCTGCAGGCTTTTTATGTTGAATGTTGATCTCTTCTAGGACCTGCTGCCAGTGCCTGAGCTTTGCCAAATGCTTCTGGACCAATGCTTCTTTTCTCTGTAATTCATTTCTTAATTCTGAGACATCCTACAAAAAAAATACAAAGAAAACAAAGTTCTTGACTGGATAATTTAAGAGCTCATCTAAGAAAAACTAAAATTAAAGAAATTAACGCTTCTGTAACCGAACCTTCGTTTTTACATTCCAAAATTTGAATCAGCTATTTGAACTATCTGAGATTGTTAACTGGGAATTATCTATGAAATTTTGGGTTGAAAAGGACCCTACAGCTCAAGTCCAATCTACAAGTAAACTGTAATTCCCTGTACAAGATGTAATGGAAGATCTTCAGCAATAAGCAGGGACAGAGATTTCCTCTAGAGGAAATCCATTCCAGTTCTGAGCAGCTCTAATTGTCATTAAAAAGTTTTTCTTCATAACAAGCCAAAAATTTCCCTCTGTAATGCTATGCATTGCTCCTAGTTCTAAGCCCACGGAGATTCAGTCCCCTTCCTCTTCTAACTGAAAGCACTTCTGGTATTTGTCACCATTCACATTCCTCTTAAGTCTTCTTTTCCTCGTTCAAGCCAGCCATCCCTGCCTGGTTCTTTCAACAGATTCTCATAAGGCAGCTCCCAGGCCCTCTCAACATCCCAACTTTGGGCCAGATCCCAAAGGTCAACATCTTTTCTAAAAAGACTGAATTTTGCACAGGACAATTTTCTCTATGTGGTCTGCCCAGGCTATCGCCTCCTTCACTATGGACACTGCCTCTGTAAATGCCAGTTTAAGAATGCTTTGGCTTCCTAGTTAACACTATTGACTCCTATCAAAGTCTACATTAACTTGTGTCTAGATTTAGAGCCCAAAGAGGGACCTTAGAGATCCTCTGGTCGAATGGAAGCAGTGGTGGCTTGGATGATGGTCCATCAAGATGGCCTGGATTTAAATCCCAGCTGCTACTTACTGTCTGTGAAACCTACAGCAAAATCTCCCCACCTCTTCAGACTTCAGTTTCTCATTTATAAAATGTTGCATGCGATGACCTTTACCATTGACCAGAAAATCAGGTTCAGAAAGGAACAATACCCTGCCCAAGCTTGCTGACATGGAAAGGAAAAAGCCAGCATCTGGCTATGCCTCACATACTGAACTTCAATACAGGACTTTACTTTGAATACCCTTTGAATTTCATCTCATTAAGGTCATCCCGTCATTCTGGCCTGGTGAACTCTTGGGGTCTCTACTCAACTTGTTAACTCTCTCTTCTAGTTCCTTGTCACTTGTACACTTGAAAAGCATGCAATCTACCTCATTAGCAACAATGCTGAAGAGGATGAAGTCGAGAATAAATCCATAGGGCACTCTACTGAGAGACCTTCAAGTTGGCATTAACGTACTCTTTGGGTTCAGCATTCAACCAATTCTTCACCTCTCTAGTTATTCTAGTATTCAAGCCACTGCTGGATGCCATGCTAAAAACCAGGTATACAATGTCTGTACATTCTCTTGATATACCAATCTAATAATACCATTGTGAAAAAAAGCAATGGGATTTTTCTGGCATGAAATAGACTTGATGAAGCGATGCTGGCTCTTAGGGATCACTGGTGGTTCCCTTCTAAATCCAGAACATATAACTAATCTTCCACCAAATTTTTCTAGATCCTCTATGGCCAGTAACTTAAAAACCAACACTTAATATCTGACTAGTCCTTTACGTAAAGATTGTTAAAGCTTATTTTCAAGGTTTTAAATAAAATACCACCATTATCTTACTCACATCTAACGTTAAAAAACTTATTTTAGTCTATTATTAACTGTATGAAATGAAAACACCACTTAAATTAGAAATGACAGAATATACTACACTAATCATTTCACTTATATTTTCCTTAAGAACTAAGACCCAGTGGATCACAGATCAGCTGTGTAACTAACATTCCCCACCTACACATTTTTCACCTGCTTGCCTCTCTACCTCATTTCTCTAATAAAAGAACAAAGATAACATGATGAATTCAATCAGCCTTTATTATTTAGCCAGCATAAGTATTTCCAAGATGCCCACAGATAAAGGCAATTTTAAACCTAAAATCTTCAGTTTCAAAGAGATCGGGCCTTAACTACAACTAAATCAATAAAACTTAACTTAGTCACACAGATCTGTGACAAGAGTCAAATTTCATTTCTGTAATAAAATGCTTAATTTGCCATAACTGGATGGCTTGAAATGTAAAATAATTCTGAAAATGTCACTTTTAGGTTGAACCTTGAAAAACAACAAGTATAAGTTGAATTTTAAAGAGGTTTTTTGAAGGGGTGAAGGTAAGGTGGGATAAGTGTCTTCTATATTTGGATACAGATGGGTATTTATTTACTCTCACTGAAATCTGAGCACGTAAGACATAAAGAAAATTTTAATTTATTACCTCTTTAATAACTTGCTCTGGTTTCTGGACAGACAGTTGTAATCTTTTCTGAAGAAAAAAGCACTCTGTTTGTCTTGCAACATCCAGAAACTTCTGAATACACTGATCAACACCTAGAATTCAGAAATAATATAAATCCGAAAGGTAAAAGAAATATAGTGATGTAATACATGATTACCCAAATTTATTCATAAGAGTCTACTGGAAGGAGCATTTAACAAGGAAGTCAGGCTTATTGGATTGTTAATGTCAATGTCAACGTCCACTCTAATTCTTTTGCTTCCAAGTCATCTAGCTTTTCAGCCCCAATGACCTGCACCTTTACTCCACCTCAGCCCTACAGGATCATAGCCCTGATCTCATCACCCACAAGTGTCCCACCTTAATAATTCATAACTCTAATTTCTGCATCTGATGTTCACTCATGCCTCAGCTCTTCTCTTCCCTCACTACAATGTCAGCTCAATCCACACCTCCATCCTTTCTTAACCCTTTCTCTAGTCGAACTTTCTTCCCTTCAAAGTCTCAATATTTTAAGTAATGAATTCAATTTTACACTATCCTCAGCCCTTGAGTTCCTCGACTCCTTGTCATTTCTTTTCAGACCCCAATCCTATGTTAAGCTAACCATCTGCCTTGTGCTGTCAAATGCTGATGGAAAATCAATCAATTCACTGGATCCACTCCAAATCCTGGCTATGAAATCTTATCTCAGCCCTCAGTTGTGCTACAAACCAATCCTTTTACTCTTCCCTGACTAGCTGCTGTTCCATAAACAAACTTATTAAGCACTTACAATGTCCCTGGCACCAACACCTTCCCTATACCCAATACCTCCTTTTTTAGTAGCAGAACTTTTCATACCTCACTGAAGAATCAGAAGGCATCCAAGCTTACTTCCCTCTCTAATTCTATAGTTCAGAACAACTCAGCATCACACTGTGTTATCTCCCTCTCTGTATCACTTTCAGGATGAAGTTGCCCTTCTTGCCAAAAACCAACTCTTCTGATTATGTCCTTGAATCCATCCCATCCCATATCCTCCAAGGACTTGCCTCTTCAATCATCACCTCACTCACCCTTATTTTCATTCTCTTTTTATACACTGGCTCCTTCCTTGCTTCTCACAAATATTCCTACATCTCCTCAATCCTTAAAAAGAATTTCACTTGACCCCACCATCTCCTCAGGGTATTATCCAATAGCTCTCTTTCCCTTCTTCACTAAACTCCTAGAAAAAGCTGTCTATACTTTATCAGCTCCGCTCTCTCACATCCCATTCACTTCTCAAACCCCCACCACTTG